CAATATCCTGTTTCTCTCTTTCTTCTGGCACCCCAAAAATGCAGATGTTGGTACACTTTAAGCAGTCCCAGAAGCTCCTTACACTATCCTTATACTTTTGGATTCTTCTTTCTTTCTGCCTCTCTGGTTGGGTGATTTTTTCTTCCTTATATTCCAGATCTTTGGTTTGATTCTTGGGTACATTGATCTATAGCTGAGCCTCTGTATATTCTTTATTTCAGACATTGTGTGCTTAATTTCTGACTGGTCCTTTTTTTTTTTTTTTTTTTTTTGACATTCTCATTAAGGTCCTTGAAGATCTCACAAAGCTTCTTGGAGGTCTCATCAACTTTCTCAAGGTTTTAGAAGATTCTTGAGTAATCTTATAAATGTGATTCTGAACTGTGTGTCGTCCAGTAGTTTACTTTCCTCCATCTCTCCCATTCATGACATGCTTCTGTGTCTCCTCATTTTGGCTGCCTTCCTGTGTTGATGGAGTGGCTTTGTGTGGTCAGTGACCTATAGGGGCCAGTAGCTCAGCTTCCCTGATCACCTAAGGTGGTTGTTTTTGGTATATCCCTTTGTGGGCTGAGTGCAAAGTCTTGGTGTAATTAAGCCTTGTTCGCTGTTGGTACACTGGGAGGAACTGATCTCCAGGCCAATTGTCTGTGAGGACCTGCTGTGTCTATAAAGGAAGAACTGCTGTGCTGGAGACAGTTTGTTTCAGTGGGGCTTTGGTGTTCTCTGAGTCCGGCTCCCAAATGTGTCACTTATGGGTGTGAGGGGTTGAAACTGACCACTAGGAACACTGGCTTCTGGATCTCCAATGGAGTGCAGTTCAGCTACTTTCTGAGGCCACCCTGCAGGAACTACTGCAAGAACTACAGTTTTCTCCTGTTTGCTTGTGACTTTTCGGTTTTGTTGCTGGAGCTGCAGTTTATATCATTAAGCTGCCACAATACAGGCCATTTATATGCAAAAGCAGCTGTGTGGTGCCTGGGTGGGTCTCTGGAATGTGCGGGCAGGACCTCAGGGTGAGGCTGGGCCTCAGGGTGGGGCAGGATCTCTGGATATCACTAGTCTGGGGCATGGCTAACAGTGATGGTTGCCATCAGCCATCCCTGCCCTTCCATGTTTCCAAGTTCCCGAGTTTCCAAGTCCCCGCTTCCCTGCGATCCAGCACAGTAAACAATAATTGCTGCAGGCACCTCTGCAAGAGAGTCACCCTCACTTTCGGACCCGATGGCCGACAGACCAGCTTCTCCCCATAGGTATCTGGGTCCCTCAAGTGACCCCAGAAGCTGGATTTCAAAGTGATTGGGATCTTGTTTCCCTTCGGGTTGAAAAAAAAAGCCGCCCGCCCAGTCGCCCGCCACCAGCCCGATTCGAGTGCCTCTGTACCTAGGCTCCTCAGCTTTTCAGCGCTTGTGCTCCTTTCTCTTTCAGCGAACCTTCCCATAGTTTTGGGTAATAGATGTCCTGTATATTAGTTTTAATTTTGAAATTGTTGTGCAAGGTGGCAGACCAGTTGTTTACCTACACCGCCATCTTGCTTTCTCCCTGTGGTGTTTTTTTGTTGTTTTTTTTTTTTAATATATTTTATTGATTTTGTACAGAAAGGAAGGGAGAGAGATAGAGAGATAGAGAGAAACATCGATGAGAGAGAGTCATCAATCAGCTGCCTCTTGCACACCCCCTACTGGGGATATGCCCGCAACCAAGGTACATGCCCTTGACCGGAATCAAACCCGGGTCTCTTCAGTCCCCAAGCCAATGCTCTATCCATTGAGCCAAACCTGTCTCGGCCCTGTGGTGTGTTTTTAAACACACTTGCTCCATTCCCACTCTGATTTTCTAGAGAGAGAAGAGAAAGCGAGAGAGAAAAAGAAACATAGATGTGAGAGCAAACATAGACTGGCTGCCTCCTGCATGCCCCTACTGGGGATTGAACCTACAACCCCACAGTTTCCTGCCCCCTCTCCCACAGGTGTCCTGTCAGAGAATGGAACCAGCACTTTCCCTGCACTGGAGCAGTCCCAACCAACCGAGTCACACCCGCCAGGCAGCCTTGCAATGGTTTCCATTATTTGCTTTTAAATAGATATCTCCATTGATTTCAGACAGGAATGGAGAGAAGATAGAAACATCAATGTGAAAGTGAATCACTCATTGGTATGTGCACTGACCTCCTGGTTCATAGGCCCACGCTCAGCCACTGAGTCACACTGGTCGGGCTGCTATGGCTTTAAGTGTTCACAATAGGCCTGTCTTATACTCCACAGGTTCTGTTTCTGAACTTGGTCAGGGAGATCTCCCACTCCTGAGTGAAGGGGCTCTTCCCTGTCCCTCCTCCTCACCCCCTCCACCCCCCTCCCAATCTCCAGCTTCTACTTTCCCAAGGTCTTGGGACCTGCCCCGCCTGAAGGCCGAGCCTCCCCCCTCCCCTCCGGCCTCTCATGTTGAAGGAGGTGGGGTGGGTGCTTTATTCCTGGTCAGTGTTTCCCAGCTCCTCCTGCCTAACCTAGTAACCCTGCTCCCCTCTGTGCTGCAAGTGATCAGCCCGCAAGTCCTGTGCATTGACTTCCTGTGTAACTGCTTCCACACAGACTCCTAAGCTGCTGCGTTTCATATGAATATGTCCATCTTTATTTGTCCTTGTGGGTTTGCGACGTGGACTAGAAAGGTCTCCCTGCTCCCCCTCCCCCTCCCTTGCAGAGCCCTAATCTCGCAGCTTGTCCCTTCCCACGGTCAGGGGCATAAAAGCATGCAGGGGCGCAGCCCCACAGCCTCACCATGTCCCCGCTGTGCCCACTGCTGCTGGCCCTGGCCCTGGTGGCCATCCCTGGTGTCCAAGGCGCCTGCCCGGCAGCCGCTGACCTCAAGAACCCCGATGGGACACGGACGTGCGCCAAGGTCTATGACAAGAGCGACCCATATTATGAGAACTGCTGCCGAGGAGCCGAGCTGTCCATAGAGCCGGGCACCGACATGCCCTTCCTGCCCTCTGACTGGAGGAATGTCATCTCCTCCGTCGTGGTGGCCCCGCGCTGTGAGCTCACCGTGTGGTCCCGTGGAGGCAAGGACGGCAAAACCCACAAGTTCACCGCTGGTGCCTACCCGCGCCTGGAGGAGTACCGCCGGGGCGTCTTTGGCCACTGGTCCAACGCCATCTCCTCCATCTACTGCAGGTGCCCCCCGCCCCCGCCCCCTTCCTGCCAGTGCACGTCTGCTTCCAGAGCACAGAACCCAGCCCCCTCCTTCCCCCCCAGCTCCAGTTTGCCCAGCCCCCTGAGTCCCTGGCCCAAATTGGAATTCCTAGACCCAGTCCAGGAGGTGCCCCTTCTCACCGGCATCCCCTCCCCCAACCCATGCCCCTTGGATCTCTCAGACCAGTCTGGGATTGTCAGACTCAGAAGCGACCTAACCCCCCCTCAATTTAGGGAGCAGCCCCCCACCTTCCTGAATTCCACCTGCCTACCCACAGCTGCACTGGCCAGGGTGGGCCACTAACCCCTGAGCCGCCCAGCCTAGCTTGGGGATGGGGAGCCACCCACCCCCTCACCTTGGAGTCCCCAGAGCCAAAGCCAGTCCTTCCCTGTCCCCCAAAATCCTCAGATCTCAGAGCTGCCTCGGACCTCCCAGACTCTACATCTGACACAGACCTCAACCCCAGACCCAATCCTGGGGACACCCTTGCTGGCCTTTATGCTCCCTAACCACCCAAACCCTCTAGGCCAGCCTCAACACCAGGGCCCAGTCCCAGGCTCCCTGGAAGGTTCTGAGCATTTGGAAGCCCTGAGCCCGCCCTGCACTCACATATGCGAGCTCACAGACTTGGGACACTAAATGTAGCCATAGAGCCTCCGAACCACCATGCCTGTCCACCCCACAAGAGCTCCAAGAGCCCTGCTCCGAAGTGGGAGCCCAGCCCAGCCCACACCTTACCTCAGGCCCTAGAGCTCCCCAAGCCCTGGGTCCTTGAGCCCCTGGCACTTCCTGGTGATAAGTTTTTATTCTGTTGCAGGTGCTGGTGATGCCTCAGAGGTCCCTCATCTCCAGCCCCTGCAGAAGGAGGAGCCCCTCACCCGGCCTTGTCCCTGGGGCCTGCTGAAGGTCCCAGTCCCAAGCGGAGAGAGCTTTCTGCCTGCTCCCTTCCCACCCTGCCTTCCCTGCAATACAGTCCTTGTGAAGTTGCCCCTGGCTGCCATCTGCTTGTGCTTGGGACACAAGTCCACACAGGACGGGGGTGGCATGGGGAGATGGCAGGGGGTCATGCCAGGATCAGCCTACCTGGGGCAGCACTGACTGGGGACACACCATGGATTCCGACATGGATTGAGGTGTGCACAGAAACACACTCCCACGGGAAGCGTGTGTGGCATGCAATAGTACCGCTGCTGATGCTGCCCAGACCTTTGGGGACATAGCCCTTCCCTAAGTGACCCCGGCTGCTCTGGCTGCCAGGGCCCCAGAGTCAGATTCATGCAGGAGACAGCAGAGACCTTCCAGGGCCAGCCCAGCAAGGCCGGGTCTGATGTGAGGCCTGGCCAGAGCCTAGGACTCACGGGGTGTTCAATACTCAACCATCCTCTCCCTACAGGTGGGAGACACTTCAGTGCAAATTTGCATATTTCTGCAAATGTGAATTTGCAACCTATCCCCAACCCCACCCCCAGGGAAGGGGCCCTTGATGGACAACTGGGTTTGGGGGCTCTCAGGAGAAGCTGAAGAAGAGAATGGAGGGTCTTGTGGGAAGGAAAGGTATGAGGACAGCTCATCGGAAAGGATGACTTGGGGTGGGTGGAGGCGGGGAATTTGGGAAGATCCTGAGAGCTAAGAAATGTGGGGGAGAGAGTAGGTGGAGATGCTAAGAGACCATAAGTTGGGGTATGTGAGGAGATCAGAGGTCAGGAGAGGCGTGGGAGGTGGAGGAGGTGGGGGTGCTGGAGGATCACAGAGCAGAGGGAGTGCAAGTGGGCTGGAAGCTCAGGGAAGGAGCAAAGATGGCAAACATACCAGAGTCCTTGGGCACAGGTGCTGATTGGTTTAGTCAACAAGGATTTATTGAGCACCTACTATGTGCCAAGCACTGCCTTGGGAGGAGTGGCCCCTGGCCTCTGGAGCCCCGAGCGTGCAGGGGAACTCCAAGGAGGCAGGCGTTGGGGCGTGTGAGGTCCCACATTGGGGAGGAGACGAGGTCACACAGCCCCCTCCCTGAACTGCACGGACACGGAGGAGTCGGTCACCCTTGTGCGCCGCAGCCCCCCGGGCTCCGCGCGGTCCTTGGTCTTGTGCAGGAAGTGGACGAAGCGCACGCCGGGGCCGTACTGGCGGAACACGTGGGACACCTGTGGCGGCGGCGGCGGGGCAGAAAGACGTCTCATCAGGGCCCCTGAGCCTGCTCTCCCCTCCTCCCCTGGAGGCCTTGGGCCGGGTCTGGGCTGGCAGCGGGGCGAGGAGTCTCACCTGGACCCAGCGGCCAGGAGGGCCCCTCTCAGAGGTGCGGGGTGCCACGTGGTGCTGAGCGATGACACTGTGGCGGTCAGCTGCCAGCAGCCAAACGTGCAGCTCATACACACACGTCCAGCCGGCTGTCCTCAAACCTGGGGGTGGGGGCACGCCTTCAGCTGCCACCTCAGCCCCAACATCCTGACCCCAACTTCTTGCCGCAATCACCATTTAGCACCCTTCACTGCCCCCTCCCTTCCCACCGTGCACCTGGAGCACAGCAGACCCAGACAGCCCCGTGCCTGCCCTGTGGGGTACCCAGTCCAGAGGGGAGACAGTGACCAGCAGGGATAGTCGGGACCAGAACGGGGCTGGTCGGGAAGGCTTCCCGGTGGAGCCACGTGCCCCTGACCCCTGAAGGACAAGGACGATCGTCCTGAGAAAGACAGGCATCTGAGAGGCAAGGATGGCCCTGGGCCTGGCACATTTCACAGCCGGAAAGTGTCAGAGAGAAGGGCCGCAGAGGGGGCCAGGGCTGAGGAGGGTCCTGGTGGGGGGCTCAGACAAATGGGGGTAGGGGTGGGACTTGAGCTTTGGGGAGCCCCTGTGTGCATCTGGCCGGGTGCAGGCACGTACCAGTCCATGACAGTGATGGCGGGAGCTGCTCTTGAACTTGGTGGTTGGCAGATACTGAACTTGGTGTTTGGCAGATGCTAAGTTTGGGATACCTAGTCATGGCAGCGAGAGGACACTGATCCGCACAATCACACACTTGGTCCAACAGCACAGGACACATCTTTTTCTTATCATTTATTTGAACAATTCTTAAAAAAGTAGAAAAATAAATACTTTATCAGGTGCGAGTTTAACAATTCACACACAAAAATGCATAAATAGTGGTGGGATGGCAATAAATTAAGAAAGGTGGGGGTGCATAAATAAACCAAGATGCTGGGACAGGTGGCGGGTGGGCCTCAGAGTCACACACACAGGTCTCCATCAGCCACACATTTCAGGTCACGGGCCAGGAGGCGGAAGAGGTTGGATGTGACAGAGGCTTCAAGGCAGCCACGGGATTCCTGTGGAGAGGAAAGGACAGCTCAGTGGCTGTTCGCCACCTGGGCCCCATGTTGTCCCCAGAAACTGGTCCCTCCCCAGTCGCTCACCTTCTTCTCAGCCTCCTGGAGGCGGTGCAGCCATTGGTGGAGGCGGCCCAGGGGCCTGGGGCCTGTGGACTCAGCTGGGACCTGTGGGCAAAGGAAGGTGGTGAGTGAACAGGGTCTCAGACACAGGAACACACAGGGGTGGTCAGAGCCCACAGACATGGCCCGGGAGCCCAGGGTACTCACACAGGCCTGAAGCTTGGAGTGGATGTGGCGCAGCGTGAGAAGGGGCTGGTCCAGGACGTCCCCCAGGGTCGAGTTAGCCAAGGTGTCCAGGACCCTCCGTGTCAGGGCCAGCTCAGCCTCCAAGGCCACAGGGCGCTCCCACACCTGAGCAGGGGAGACAGACAGCTGAGGGCTGCATGTGAGAGAGGACAGGGGAGGAGGGCAGAGGGAGGACCAGGGGGAGGGGAGAGGAGAGTAGAGAGGGAAGGTCACTGTGAGCAGGTGAGGAGAAGAGGTCAGGAGTCTGCTAGGCAGGCCAAGGCACAGGAAACAGTGAGGAGGAGGAGGTGACAGGGCCACCTAAGAAGCCAAGGGAGCGGGGCCAGGTGAGGGCAGGGCTGGCCTGAGTCTCCCAACTCACCTGCAGCTGCCTCAGGTCCCAGGTCCTGGGGAATGGGTGGGAGCTGCAGCTCCGGTGCCTCAGCAGGAGGGACTCTTCCTGGAGAGCAAGGGCAGAGGTCAGCCACAGCTGCAGGGCTGGAGGGTGACCCCTGCAGGGGGTGAAGGATGGCTAGCAACAGGAGCAGGGGGCTAAGGTCCCAAAGGAGGGAGAGGCATCTCCAGTGCAGAACAAGAGTCAGCACACAGCAGCCAGAGCAGGGGAGGCCACTGTGCGAAGGGCAGAGGCCAGCCGGGGAAGGAAGGGTGCAGGGCCACCTGGAGCCAAATGGGCCTGTGACCCACAGAGGGAAGGGTGGGGGTTCCTCCACAGCGGGGGGTGGGGGAGCCGAGATTGGGGCTGGGGGGGCGGGGAGGACGCGGACTCACCAAGGCGTGCTTGGCCCTCCTGAAGGCCTTCATCTCTTGTGGGGACAGAGACTTGAACTGGGCCACGTGGCAGCCCCTTGCACCCAGGAGGGTCCCGAGGGGTGTGGGGATGGGAACTGCTCCTGTGCTGGTCAGCACCGTGCTCATCAGCATCAGCACCAGCGGGCAACACCTGGCCAGGGCTGTTAGGGAAGGATGGACAGAAGAGGGGACAGAGAGTCAGGGGCTGAGGGTGGGGGGTGTGGGGAGTGAGGGTTATGGACAATGACATGGAGGCTCACCCAGCTTCATCCTGGTCTCTGGTCTCTGATCTCTGACCCAGGCGGGGATCCAAGTGTCCTCTCACAGGCTGTCCCTGGAGCTCACTCAGCCCTGTTTGGTGTCTCTGGCCTGGGTCTCCTCTTCCAGGTCCCAGCCGCTGCTCAGTGTGTGTCGCTGAACTCGCAGGTCGGCTCTGATGCAATTGCTCCCTGCGCTCCATGGTGCAGCTTTTGGGCTGCACAGGCGGGCAATCCCAGCTGATGTAGGAAAAGTGAAAACACACCTGCCACTAGGGGAGGCCCCAGGCTGGGGAAGCCCGTGCAGGGCGGGGCCTGGAGCCAGGTGAGCAGCTGGAGCGAAACAGAAAGTGACACACACTCAGGCTCACCTACAGGAGGTGAGGTCCCAACCGGGTCTCAGCAGAAGGGCAGCCTCAGCCCCACAGGAGGGGCTGCCTCTCCACAGGACACCCCTGCAGGCAGAGGGGGAGGCCCTCCAGGGCTGTGGCCACCAAGAACCTGGAACTTCTGAGGAGGCTGTAGGGGAGCGGGGAGATGAAGGGAGCAGGCTGCTGCGGGCGGGAGGGGTGGTGGGGGAGAGAGTCAGCAGGACAAAGCTGCCCAGAGTTAAGAGAGGAGACCAGCTCTTCCCTCCCTCCCCACCGGGTACCGAGAAAGAGGGGGGGGGGAGGGGAGCTGACAAACATCTCTAATGTCCAGATCAGAGGCACCAGGCATAGGAGTCTCTGCTAGGAAGCCAGGAGGCGGGAGGGGGGGGGGTGGCGCCAGGGTTACAAGGGGTCCCGCTCAGAGCTGTCAAATGCCTCCGTTCACTCACCAAGAGTCACTCAGCCCCCAGCATGTTCCAGGCACTACTCAAGGCACCGGGAACACAGCAGTGAAAAAACAACCCGTTAAACAAAACCTGCTGGAGCTTTCTTATAAAAAACAAACAGACTTTACTGTATTGATCTTTAGAGGGAGAGGAAGAGAGGAGAGGGGAGGGGGCATTAATGTGAGAGTGAAACATGTATGTGAAAGGGTGGCCTCCCACACGTGTCCGAACTGGGAACAGAACCCCAAACCTGGGCATGTCCTCTGACCAGGAATTGAACCCGTGACCTTTCACAGGGAAGAACGCTCCAGCCTCTGAGTCACACCAGCCAGGGCTCATGGCCTTTTTACTAGGGGGAGTGGGGAGGGGGGGCGGGTAAGCACTCAGTGTACATTACATCAGGGAACAGAAAATGAAAGCACAAAAGTGAGGTGACAGCAGAGTGTAGGAGGAGCTGCACTGAATGAGGCCAGAAAAATCACATTTGAGCAAAAACTGAAAGTGAGCCATGTGAAGATCTGGAAGGAGAAAAAGACACCCCCTCACCCCTGCATCTGGGGAGAGCTTTATGCCTCCCCCATCACGGAGGCTTTGCCACAATGCAGTATTGAACCCAGGATAACATCAGGAGCACATTTTGAAATGTTTTTGCCTACATTTTAAATATGAGTAACATTGGTAAAGTGAGCAAGAAGCTTATTGTTGCCATGTGTTTTAAAAATAAAGTCTCCTGCCCTAGCTGGTTTGGCTCAGTGGATAGAGTGTCAGCCTGTGGACTGAAAGGTCCCAGGTTCAATTCCAGTCAAGGGCACATGCCTGGGTTCTGGGCTAGATCCCCAATAGGGGTGGTGCAGGAGGCAGTAGATCAATGATTCTCTTTCATCATTGATGTTTCTATCTCTCCCTCTCCCTTCCTCTGTGAAATCAATAAGAAAATATTTATTTAAAAAAATAAGTAAGTAAAATAAAAATAAAGGCTCCTGCTTGGGCAGTGTGGCTCAATGATTGAGCATCAACCCATGAACCAGGAGGTCAGGGTTGGATCCCTAGTCAGGCACATGCCCAGATTGTGTGCTTGGTCCCCAATAGGGGCCATGTAGGAAGCAGCTGGTCTATGATTTTCTAACCATTGATGTTTCTCTCTCTCTCTCTCCCTCTACTTTTCTCTCTTGCTCAAATCAATAAAAATCAACATTTTTAATTATATATATTTAAATATATTTTTATTGATTTCAGAGAGGAAGGGAGAGGGAGAGAGATAAAAACATCAATATTGAGAGAGAATCATTGATTAGCTGCCTCCTGCAGTGAGACCCCCTGGAGAGGGAGAGAATGCCCTTGACAAAAATCAATCCAGGATCCCCCATTCCACAGACTGACAATCTATCCACTGAGCAAAGCCCACTAGGGATATATATACATTTTATATATATTTTTATTGATTTTGTACAGAGAGGAAGGAAGAGAGATAGAGAGTTAGAAACATTGATGAGAGAGAGTCATCGATCAGCTGCCTCTTGCACACCCCCTACTGGGGATATGCCCGCAACCAAGGTACATGCCCTTGACCGGAATCGAACCCAGGACTCTTCAGTCCCCAAGTCGACGCTCTATCCATTGAGCCAAACCGGTCTTGGCTATTATTTATTTTTTTAAAGAGCATGCAGCATGACTTAAAGGGTCTGGGATTCAAACCTGGCTCTGCCCTCACTAGCTGTGTGACCTTGACAAAGAGCCCTGCAGTTGGCAGCAAAGACCTCTAGCCCACAGGTTGCACAAATGAAGAAGTGCACTCGTCTGTGTAAGGAGGTGTGTGTGGTTATTTAATAGAGGCTGCTGATTGAGACCACCCTAAGCCTCCACTGGAAGCTTTATAGGTGCTGCTTCAATGTACACGACTCATCCACAAAGGAAGGATAATGAGGCCATTGCTTAGGTGAGGAAACTGAGGCCACAGAGAAGTAACCTGCCCAGTCACACTATGCTAGTGGCAGGGTCAGAGCTGAACTCAAGTCACCTGATGCCCTGGCTAGGCGTTTTTAACCAAAAAGTGCCACTCAGAGTGATCACAGGGGAACAGCCAGTGTAGATGCAAGAATATTTAATAATGAAAGACAGAGTAGCCCATTGCTCAGGGATTTCAAATACAAAAGACACACAGGTAACAGAATCCAAAATACTGCAGTAACCTAAGGACTCCAGGCCCTTTCACTACCAAGTCCCTTAGGGCAGAGGCCTCCCCAGTGGAGAGATGCAGCGTCACAGATTCACAGAATCTCACAGGAGACGCTGAGGGCTCAAACAGGGCGTGGGAACGGCATGGACATTGGTTCTGCGCTGCTGGTGCCCAGGGAAGTAGAGCCTTGTCCACGGTGCGTGGTCCGCGCCCCCGTGGACTCAGGACTCCAGTCTCTCCAGTC